AGCGCGCGGTCGGCCGACTGCATCAATCTCGGTAGAAATTAATGCCATTCTCATCGCCCAGACAAATGCTTCGGGGGCGAGTCAGTCATCCGCGTCTACGGTCGGACGATCTGCCAGCGCGCGGTCGGCCGACTGTACCGGAAACCCAGCTTTGTATACATTCATGCTCAGGGTGCGTTGTGTTCGGGAAACACTGTAGCCGTGGCTGAGGTGTGAGCTCATTCTACTGCCCAGAAGTCGAGCCCGCCCGATTCCCCGCACCGCTTTTTTATTTCCTATTAAGGATATCATAATAGGAGAGATTCTCCGTACCTGAACGTGACGATAGCTGGAAGCAGCCGTGAGGTGAGCAAGCGCGCCAAGTCCTCCCCTCCCTTAAAATCCTTGATCAGATCAAGCCTCAACTCCACCATATCGGCGCCCTCGGATTTAGCGAGAGCAATTGCCTCCATCATTCCTTCCATACTGTCAGCCACCAAGCTGGCGCATATGCGGCAAGTCTCGGCCATGGCGATGGCGATGGCGACGGTGATTCACGACAACGGATCACAAACCACAGCCTCTACCCGCAGTGTCGCTGACAACCCGCACTGCCGACGACAACGGATCACAAAGAAACACAGCCGCAACCCGCACTGCCAACGGCAAGTCTCGTACGGACATGCTAAGCATGCCACGTGGATGCCGGGACGATGCCACGTGGATGCCGGGACGATGCCACGTGGATGCCGGCCAACATGAGTGCCGTTGGACTACTACAAGCAGAGCGGGTACAGCAGCCGAGCACGTCATCAACCGGTCAGTCAATCCCTCCAGGCGCCACAATTCGGCAGCTTCCCAAATTCCTTAGATTCCCCCCCAACGTAAAATCGCTGACTATACCAACTGGCCCCTCAATAGCCGACTACTGGCTTCACCCAAAAATAACGTCCGCAGTGTCGCATTCAACCTAACATGGATACCCTAAAAATAGTCCGACTTTTCTTTACTTGCTTTTCTCGAATATAACGCACCTCTGAATATCACCCTCGACTATAACGCCCAGATATAATGGATATAAAGACAGAATAGAAAGGCGAGGCATTGTATTTTAATAATGGGATGGGTAGAATGTGTTGTAGAAGGGGGAAAGGGGGTGTACATGATGTTTTAACTTTAGAGGGGTGTGCTTTGGTTTGATTTTTTTTTTTTTTTTTTTTTATATCTTCGAATTAATCACGAATTTTGAGGTGCTTGCAGGGGTCCCCTGTTTAGGCTTGTAGAAGGGGGAAGGGGGTGTACATGACGTTTTAACTTTACAGGGGTGTGCAGCTTTTGTTTTTTTTCTTTTTTATATCTTCGAATTAATCAAGAATTTTGATGTGCTTGCAGGGGTCCCTGTATAGGCTTAGGAGTAATGGTCGGTAGATAGTGAATGGTGAAATTGAGAGAATAATATAGCTTAGTTTAAAAGGGCCCCTGAAGCTTCAAAGGCTTGATTGACAACAAATCTTAATTATGTCGATCGATAAATTCAAACTACGTGAGGTGGACTAGTCCCGCTCGACACTATAAAAAAGTTGTTTTACTTAGTATTTTCGATATGTCATAAAATAAAAAAAATGAGCAACAAAAAAAATTCCACAAAAAATTGAAAGTTTAAAATATTTTATTTAAAAAAAAATGCTTCATATTTTAAAATTATCATTCCAAAGTTTTTCCAATTCTAAAATTTTCAGTTTTATTTGACAAGTTTTAATCTAAAAATGAGTTTTCCTTTCCAACTACATGTCTTTGTTGAAGATGAAATGGAATTTTGGACGAGTTTATGAAATGTCTTAATTCAACTTTCATTCTACTATAACTAATATCTTATTATTAAGATTGGATTAACGTATTTATGAATGAAACTCCTTATAATAGAATGATAGTCTAATTTTAAAAATTTATAAACTCATCCAGACTTTCATTTAATCTCTAGCATGCAACTCAAATAGGAAGGGATACCCCATTCTTGGAACAAAATTTTTCAAGTAAAAAGGGAAATTTTAAAAGTGGAATGAAATTAAAATTTTAATTTTTCTAGTATAATTTACATTTGTTATTCAATGATTATTTAATTCTATAATTTTTTATGTTAAGAGCGAAAGTAACTATAACGATTGTTAAGCGACAAGTGTCGTCGTTATACTAAAGAGGAAGAGGGAGGTTGAGATAAAATAAGATCTTTGTGGTGAGAGAGAGAGAGTTATCTGACCAACATGTTATTGTTAGAGGTGTTAAAAAAATTGTTTGTTTTTTAAAATGAAAGGAGTTGAACACCAACCTCTGTAACTTTTTTTTGTTTTAGTGCTTAGATCCACCTATTAGGATTTCTGCATTAAAAAAATATCAACCGTGAAAATTAAGAGATATTTGCTAAGAGCATGAGTCTCGTGGGAAAGGTTTTGAAGTTAGAGAAGTAGTGAAATTTTGTTCAATTATATTTATTGCTAGGCTACCAGCCGCGCCGCCCTGGTCAACCTATTTTCCTGGGCGGCCCGGCCGTGCAAGGACCAAATAAGGTCCCAGCCAAAAAAAAAATAAAAAAAATCTAAGAAATTCTAGGCTACCAAAGTGGCCCGGGGTCGCTTGCCCGGCCGGGCCAAAAAAAAAAAAAAAAAAAAAAAAAAATTTTTTTTTTTTTTTTTTTTTTAAAATATTTTTTTTTTTATTTTTTTTTTTTTTTTTTTTTTTTTTTGCAGGGACCTTCCCTGGTCCTTGCACGGGCTGGCCACCCAGGACCCGGGCGGCCCGGCTGGTAACCTAAAAGAAATCCGAAAAAAAAAACTATGTTATGTAAAAAAATAAACTCAACAATTTTTGACTTAGGGTCACATCGAAATTCTTTACCAAATTTAAATTAAAAATTTTAATTTAAAAATAATTATTATTTTTTTATTTTTTCATATATTTTTTGGCCGGCCGAGCAAGTGGACCTGGGCCACTCTAGTAGCCTAGATTTATTGATTATTAATAAAAAAATTATCGTCCTCTTTATTTATTTCCTAAATTTGTTTTATTTGTGGATACTAGTTGGCGATATTACGATTGCATAATGTGTAAGGATACTATATTCATGATTCTATTGTTATAAGGATCTTAAGACAAAAATGTACTTAGAATATTTAGTTACCTCACTTTGTTATCAACAATTTCCATGTTTATATGTGAAGAGTCTCTTCTCTTATTATATCTTTTATTAAAAAAAACTAATATGTCGAAAATTTGATAGGCCCGACTCACAAGATATAGCATGAACTCACACCTAAACCATAACAATATTTTTTCTTGAGCGTTGTCGACGCGACTACCCTTACAAGGGTATCCGCCCTGGTTTTTGCGAGCGACAGAAAATAGTCTTAGTTTAAAGCTTAAGTATACCGCGCCAGGCGCGGCTACTTCTGTGATCTACATTGACTGGATGGTTGACTAAAATAGAGTGTGTGGGGGCGCACGGATTTTTTAGGCGCGCGTGATATTTTATTTGTTGATGATTTGAAGAGTCGGCGTGACCGCCGACCAGATTTTTTTTTTTCTGATTAAATAAGGATTATTTTTTATTTTTTTTCTGATTAAATAAGGATTAAAAAAATTATGTCTCGTTGACTGGTGTTCTCGCCTGTGACCTGTGCGTACGTATGGAGGACGACGGCATCGACAGCGATGGTGCGACCTTGTGCGGTAGGTGGGGCGACGTAGGACGGCGCGGGAGCATCGGAGAAACAGGAAGGGGCTGAGGGTTCGGCGGGGCTATCCCCTTTTGTTTGGGAGAGGCGTCCGATTTGCGGCCCCGCCCGTAGTACTAAGGGAGCGTTGGTAAGCCCCGTGCGCCGTCTCGATAGCTTCCCCCGCTTTTGTTTTATTAATGTTATAATATTATGTTTGTACACTTTTTATATGTATGTCTAAGCTAGATTCCATCAAGGCGTCGGCGCCGGTTTCGTGCCCGGACCGCGGGAGTGTGAGCTTGGCTGGCGAGAGTGGCCATAAGCGATTGGAGTGTGGGTCCGCGCGGAGCCTGAGCTCGCGCAGGCCTTGAAGTGCAGCAGGGTGCTGCCCCGGCCGATGTCCTACGGGATAGCTATGAAGAATTGAGTGGTATAGCAGGGGTTCATACGGCCGCTGTCCGGGGATTTATGCAAATCCAGGATTGAACCCGAACGTGGACCAGGCCGGGTTCGTACGCAGAATGAACAGGGCGGTATCTGCCCCCCACCAGTAGGCCAAGGTAAAGGCCGTGTGGCCTTTGGGGGAGCCGCGGGGCATTGCCCCGGTCGAGTCCTTCGGGACATCTGTTAAAACTGGGATGCTACAGAGAAGATTAGCACGGTCCCTGCGCAAGGGACAGCCTGTATAAGAGGAGGGCGGCCGACGGCCGAATGCTTTTTGCTCAGCATTCGGTAGCCCGTTGGGCTGCGCGGTTGGGACGTCAACAGCGACAGACAGCGGGCCGGCCGGTTGGCGCAGCACGCTGACAGGCGTTGTGAGGAGGGGCGGCCGAACCTAGACGGACAGTCGGGGTAGGTAGCAATGGAGGTAGAAGAAGGCGGAGAGCTGCGGGGCTGGACGCCGGGACAACGACGAACAGGGCAGGTAGCGAAGGAGGAGGCCTGCAGCGAGCGATGTGGCGCTGGCACAGTAGTGTGACGGGCGACGGGCAACGAGCGGAAGGCCGGTGAGGCGCAGACAAGGGGAAAACGAAGGGATGAACCTGGCGCGATTCCGCGCTAGGTACGTGCAGCAAGAGAGATGGCGGAAGAGGGAGCTCGGCGCATTCGGGGAAGCCAAACTCGCCCGTTCCTTATTGAAATCGGGCGTCGAAGGAGGTGTTTTTGCGGTTTTCGGGTCGGGCGACCACATTGGCGATGTTAGATTCGGTGTTAGTGGAGTAGATTAGGAGGTAGTAAGGGGATGAGCTGCGCGGGGATGGCGATGGGGATGAAGAAGTGAGGGCAGAAAAAGTTTGATCTTACCCGTTTCTTGATGAAAACTGGCACGGGAGGAGTCATATAGGGGGTTTTCCGGGATCGCGATCCCGATTTTGAAGTCAGAACGGACGCAAAAGTAGTAGAAGGGGATGTGGTAGAGAAAGGGGCTGCGTGAGAGTGTCGGGAGAGGTGGATATGGCAGGGAGTGAGGAGCTTAATCGGATGAAGGGAGATGCGTTGTGAGAGATTTGGAGGAGGGCGAATTCGAGGGTGATGCTAGTTTTGTTAGTACATTAATGGAGAGTTAGATATGGGGAAAAGAAGACTGCGCGTTGGAGGGAAAGTTGAAAAGGGGGATGAATCTGATCGTGTTTACGGCCATATTCGTTCAATTTTTGTATATTCTGTGAAATAAGGATGAGGGGGAGATTGCAAAACGAGAGGAATGGTAAGACTTACTTACCTAGTTGAACCGATACGTACTCACGGGGAGGCGAGTCCGCTGGAGGGGCTTGCTGCGACAGAGTGTGCTTTGCACCCACCTCTCCAGTCTACGAAGGGAAGCGAACCCGGTCGTTGGTAGGGGTCGGGTACATCACGAAAGAAGGCAACGTAGGCCGTAATTGGGATTGCCTCAAGGAGCCAGTTTGGCTTGTGCATACTGAGGGTAGGAAACTCCC